TTTATAAACTACATGGTATTTAACCCTATTCAGACCGGGCATTTGTTTTGCATCCTGCGATAGGGGGGACCTCGAAGGATCCCCCTCTATAATTTCAGAACCGCTTATCCTACGGCCACCAAAATTACACAGAATAATATACTCATCATTCCACCTTCTGAGCATAACTTAATTGACACAATGACATAATCTGACGTCATTATGACGTCATATTGTTAAATTTATTGGCAGAATCCAAATTTCCCTCAAAGTTGACATAAACCTACTTAAAAAGTAAGGTCTCCGATAAAATCAAGAAGTTGGCAACACATATTTAGCAATAGCAGTGATGCAATGATGACGACATTTATCACTAAAAAAGAACTGGTAGCATCCGCCATCTTGGATCACCATTATGAATTATTTAAAGGATATTCCATTTTACTGAAAACCTATATAAATCCAGGTATTTTTAACAGGAAACATGAAAATAATAACGCCAATTAATAACTATACCTCTAATAAAGTGAACCAGTCTTTACTCAAGTAGTTTGTGGTCGCATGGGCGTTCTTTCTTGCTCTGTTTTCCCTACAGAAATCTGCGACTACGTTTTCTTGAGGGAAATGATTGTTTCCAGTTGCCCCTTGCGATTGCGGCGTTTGTTCATCAGCCGTTGTTTTGCCTTCTACCAATGCTTGATCTCTGCTGAGGCTTTCACATTCCTGAAGGCTACTGCCCTGGAAATTGCGGTGGGATCTAAAGCCCTCTCCACTAAAACCAGAGGTGTGGTTACAACAAGCAGGGCGTTGTCGTCGGAATGGTCTCAAGTCAGTACCTCCAACCACTTTACCATCGTTTCGTTTGATCGACCTCCCAATTTCTTCATACTCGTGACCACGAGCGTTCTGGAAAAAGTTGTGGGAACTGAATCTTGTTCCATTAAAACCAGTAGGGTGGCCACCATCAGGAAAACCTTCTCGTTTTGGTGGTCCTTGGTCGGTTCTTTTGTCTATTTTAACATTGTCGTTATTTACGTGTTCCCCTTTCTCTGTAGCATTTAGAAGCTGTTCATGCTGATAGTTAACAGTTGCATGAGCCACATATTTTTCACGATCCGATCTTGTAGCGGATGCGTTTCTGCTTGGTTTGTAATAGTTACTGATATCTTTGGGGATATCTTGTGATTCTTCTTGTCTATCCACTTTATTGTCAGTCTTACTCTTCGTTTCAAAAAACAGCGAAGACGACTCGATTGTCTCGCCTTCATAAAAAATCCTCCTCTCTATTAATTTGCCATAATGACGCAAACGAGCTTCCTCTCTAATGTCGTTAGGGTAAATCTCGTTTTCATCTTGTGTCACTTGAGGTAATCGCTTTTTTGTCCCGAAGCGGGAGGCACAGCTTCGTGGTAAAAGATAAATCTCCTCTACTATCATGATTTCACCAGAGTCACTAGTAATTATCGTCTTGTTTGGGTCGCTGGCTGCCGCACGTTGTGCTATCGGTAGTCGATTTTGTGCCGTGGAAAGTGTGATTTGCGATTGCCTGGATAGATTGCCGAACTGCGAAATCATCTGCTCTTTGGATACTCTTTCAGCCGTGTCAACGTGGGATGCGACTTCTATTGTAGTTTTCGGTTGGTTTTGAAGCAGTCTTTGTTGAAATCCCTTGAAATCTTCAAATTCACTTAGATCAAGACTGGAGATGTCTGGAGACAATTCACCGTCTGGATTGTGACGACGATTACCCGAAATTTCTTTCTCCGTACACCTTCGTCTAGCCATTTCTTAAAACAAATAGAATTCTGAGACGAAACTGTGTTCGTGCGATTTGCGAAATGAAATCTCGTGATTGTTCTTTTTATCCCTGTGTGCATTGCTATAATAACAAATCAAATGCTGAGAAAAATTACTAAGAAAAGGCGCACCAATGAGAGCAGTAAATATCTCTCACACTGATTATTAAAAACAATTGTCTGAGCGTACATGTGACGAAAAACAAACTAATCAGAAGAACGTCAATGGCGCACTCCTTTGAAGATTACTAATCAAGCAGCGGCAAAGAAAAATAACGAAGCAAACCTCACGCAAACATTAACAGAGCGATGTTTGTTTACCTTCGTTTGACCCTCTGACTCTGAATTCATGACTCGCTGAAAGAAAGACTGACGCCATGACACACCCTATTTGTATGGCAAAATCATTGGTGTTGCTATGACAACAAAACTGGATTTCTATTTTTGCAACAACCTTACGTATTTCGAAATGTGCTATCTTTAAAGCGACAAGCAAACCATTCTTTGTTTTTATCAAAACATGGGTTATGTTTCATTATTCGCTGAACTTATGACACTCCCTATTTGTGTGGGCGTGCTCTTTCGTTTTCTTATTCAAACGAATACTTAGGCACGCAAATATACTCGTATGTGCGTTATGAATAATGAAGACAGGGTACAGAATGGGTATGATTTGACATACGATTGAGGAAATTTGCTTGGCTGTCCTTAACTAGCCTGATTTTCAGCCGTCCCTTAGAGTCACATACTCGCGAAAGGGACGTTTGAATCAACTTGCGGCTAACGCCGTCCAGTGACGTCACTACCCAAAAACTGGGTAGAGATTTTGATTGGTTGATTGTTCAAACATTGGCATATTTGCGTATAATTGTGACAAATTTTAGCGGAACTGTCATTTGATATTCAGCGGATTGCGTGCTTGCGTGGAGTTCAAAATTTCGACAATCTTCATCGTAAACAGCAAAATTGCCCTTGTAATCGAAACTATGACTTATTCCATTGAACTACGAATGAGGAATCAATGCGGAAAGACAGTTGGTTTTTATTTAGAGCTGCTTTATGGTTTTTGCAGTGTTTATGCGAAGCATCAGTGATCGATTTGTGAGGCTTATTATTAACAAGTTTGTGTCGAGCTAGCAAATGTTCGAAGTTCCGGTCACCTCTACTGTCGAATGTAATGATTTTGTCCCTTTCTTGCTTTCTTTTTTTCTTTCTTCTTCCTTAAGGACCAAATGGCTTCTTTTTAACTGAAGCAAATTGAAGGAATTGCCCCGTGTGTAATTCATTCTTGCGGGGCCGCAATCGAATTTGATTATTGAATCATAGCGCATGCAAACAAAAGATTCGTTCAGAATACTGCATGTAGTTAACAGTTTGAACATAAATAACGATTTAAGAGTAAAACAATTTTGTACCAGGTAGACCTTTCCGGGCGATATTTCATGTTTGCTAGCTGAAAATCGTGTTTTACGGAGTGTTTTAAGGAGTAGTGACGTCTCTGGGCGGCATTAGAGGCAAGTTGATTCAGACGTCCCTTTCGGGAGTATGCGACTCGAGGGGACGTCTGAAATTCAGGCTAGCTGTAAATCTTTGACAAGCTAAACGAAGTTTAGTGCCTGCCCCTTTTCACCCTTCTCACAATAACGCAACCGAGCTACTTCCCTAATGTCCTTTGGGGATATCTCGTTTTCATCTTGCGTCACTTGAGGTAGTCGCTCTTTTAACCCTGTGCGCATTGCTGATACTAACCAATCAAACGCAGAGGAAAATTATTGAGAAAAGGAGAACCAATGAGCGTGAATGTCTCAGCGTATAGGAGAATGAAAACAAACTACATGGGGCACTCCTTTGAAGATTACTAATCAATCAGCTGCGAAGAAAAATAACGAGGCAAACCGCGCGAACATTAACAGAACTGTGTTTGTTTGACCTTTGCTTGACCCTCCGACCCTGATCGATGAGAGAAACACTGACACCATGCACACCGAATTTGCGTGGGTATTATCTCAACCTCTGTTTTTCCAACTCAACAGCAGTAATATTATTGGTGTTGCTATGACAACAAAACCTGACTTTTATTACGTATTTCGGAATGTGTTAACTTTAAAGTGCCAAGCAAACCATCCTTTGTTTTGATCGAAACATGGGTGGTCCTTTACGATTCTTTGAAGTTCTGACACATCCTATTTGTGTTGGCGTTATTTCTCAAAAAAAAAGTTACCCGTACAAATATACTCATATGTGCATTATAAGTTATAAAGGCAGGGTATAAAGAAAATAAAAATAAAGTTGGTGTGATCGCAACTAATTAGTAAGTCAATTAATGGGTGGATAACCTCTGTACCCACCAAAACCGTAAATAAACATTAGATGAACCTTCCACTACAACGCACAGCAAAAGAATATGCCGAAGAACGTAGGATCTAAAGAAGACGTGATCAGCAAAAATATACAGGGTAGACACATTGAAATCTGCAACGCTGATCGTACTACGTGAAAATTAACTTTGCAAGACATAAACATGACAGCGATAGAACCCAGAACATCAACCCTAACCACAACCTCTAAACATGCTAAATCCTAACTCTACCCTAAACAGGACCCTAAACCACAATCGTCAGTGATGATATCGCATTCCCTAACACTATAGTTCCTAAGGCTCGAATCCTGGGGTCCGCGCCACATGTGGGTTGAGTTTGTTGTTGGTTCTCTCCCTTGCTCCGAGAGGTTTTTCTCCGAGTCCTCCGGTTTTCCCCTCTCCCTAAAAACCAACACTTCCAAATGATAATTCGATCTGGAACGCATGGACACGTTTCAACGAGTTCTTAAGAACTCCTAAGCGCTCTGTACCTTCTAAACGCCTTGTCCCCCAACGGGATGGGACGGGACGGGACGTGATGGGTATGATTTGATACACGATTGAGGAAATTTGTTTGGGTGTCATCAACCTGCTGTAGAAACGTATTTTTAAGGGAGGAGCGCTCAATGCTTCTTGTAGTCGCAATCTTTTACAACCTGAGTGAATTTTAGTACTGGCCCCGTTAAACCTTCCCAGTCTCACCCCCAGTCCCAGTCCTCTAGAAGGGGTTTGATATTGCGTAGAAAGCAAATACTCCTGAGGGCGGAAGTCCAGTATGCAAGGATCTCGCTCAAGGGTGTTGATTGCACATTTTGGCCTCGCTTTGGGTGTTCAGGAGGGAAAACCAATAGTTTTACCCATACAGTTATCGCTTGGTGGAGACAACGACGTGTCAACATCTTAAGTGCATGCAATCATAATCATAATAGCTCCCACTTGGTAGTGGTAGTGGTGGTGGTGGTGGTGGTAATGGAAGGGGAAGGGGGAGGGGTGATCATGTCTGGGCCAAGACTTTAGGAGTACAAATAAGAGAGAATAAACTAAATTTTTTGACAGAGCATCCCCGTCTCTTTCATATCGGATTCCTTTAAGGAATATTCAACTAAACCATTAAACAGTGTCTTTGCTTAAAGATAAGTAAGAAAGTGATTTGAAACGTTCGATTTCGTTTTCAATCCCTATTAGGTTATTTCCAAAAAAAGTCGCTCAAAATCCTTCAACTTTGAAACTAAGACCTTTCTATTTTCTTGTTCATTCTCGGAGGTATTTTGTGCCTGAGGAAGTGTATCTCTATAATTCTAACGTAGTTTACACACGCAAACACATGCACATAATTCTCATGTCATTGTTTCCTACGATACACCTTGAGGACTCAGTGGCTCATTCTGGGAGTACACTCAAGTTAACAATCCCGACACACTGTCCTCGTCTCCTTCCTGTATAGAAAAGTTCCTCTTGTTTCGTTTTCCCAACAGTCGCGAGCGATCCTCCCGTTGAAAGCAAATAGAATAATTGTTGAATTCCGGGTTAGCCTGTGGCCTACGAAGCAGCAGTATTACGAGAGGAACAGTAATTAACAGGCCCACCAACACTATGAGGGTGATAAATCCAACGGTCACTGAAAAATAAAATCAAAGACCGATACTAAGCATATTTCTGAGAAATTTATTGCCAATTCCAAAACTTCTCTCTTGTTATTGACTGTAGGCTGAACTGCAACGAGAAATCGCCGGATGTAAATGTGCCTTCCAAGACATCAATTTGGTTTTCTTAGAAAGAAACAGTAATAGAGAACTATCGGGGCCCCCAAACTGATATTTTAAAATAAAAATCCAAAGAACCTTGGAAACATGGTTTGGGATTAGGGCTAGGGTGTAAGGAAAACAATAACTGAATGACGCTAAGAACGATAGCATGCATTGAGCGCTTACCATTTGTATGGAAAACCCGGAAATTCTGGGGAGAATTCAAATGGAACGGTTCATCCCGGAGGGAATTTTCCGTAAAAAAGTAATACCTTTCGAGGTGTTACCTTTTTCCAACTTCACCGAAACGACCGAAATTTTCTGTACCATTTGTTTGGATTACTAGTGCCAGGCTTCATGTCAAGAAAAAGCGAAAACTTAGCCGATATTTTGCAATATGGCGGCAACCCAAACCCGTTCCTGTTTTAGGTGCCAAAAAATACCGGAACCATTTGACGGAAATTCTCCACCGAAATTTCCGTGCAAATGGTAAGCGCTCATTATGTAGAGGAGGAGGCTCCGAAAATGGACAATGACGTCAATCGTCTAACAACAAAAAACATTCTACACAATACAAAACCTAAAGCTGCAAAGAAGAAGCTGCAAAAATCATTGAACTAATGAAAAAAACCCGCCAAGTGTAGACCCCTTTCAAGATGACGGAAAAAATTTTTAACGGACAAACACTTGCACGCATCCGCGCATCGTTGACACGGGAACCGCGGAACCGTGCAAGTTTTGAACGGCAAACAATAGAGCGATTTTCGTATGACCGTGAAATGAAAAGGCGCGAACAAAACAGAAACAACAAACGAACGGAAATAGAGCGATTTGATTGGTTTATCGAACGGATACAAACGCACTTGGCTTTTGGTTAGTTGAGCGAACGCTCGTCTGAAAAAACTTTATGCCCGAACTTTTTTAGAAATCAACCGATACTTCGCTTTGACGTCATACTGCAACACGAACGGCCAATTGAACAATGCTTCTCCATATTAGTTTTTTTTTTGGCGGGAAAACGAAGATGCCATGTTTTGATCTTTTCATCCATTGGCTGAGAAAACGAATAACGAACACTTACCGAAACCATTTTTCAAGGTCATACGAAAATCGCTCTACTGTAATCTGTAACAGAATTTGCACGATTTTGTGTAAACGGGTTGCACACGAAAAAAATTCGCCGGTTTAAAAATTTGTCCGGTACCCTGTAGTCAGCGAAAAACATCAGCGAGAGGATTTAAGCCAATCAGGAACCGAGTAAAATAACATTTTGAATGAATAATAGTCTTTTGTATCGAAACGATTGGTAGCGCAGTTGAGTAGGTGACGTTCTCTCGGTCCAACGCCGTCGCAAGTTTGACTCCTACCACGACACTTTTTTACTCGAGGCTCATGTGATTGTCGCCATCTTCAGTAGAGGAAACAACCTTAAGATCCGACGACAGCGACGAAAACACTGAAAATCGGTATTATTTTGCACGTCGTAGTCGTGCAGTGACGGCAAAGAATGGAAAAAACCGTGATGCACGTGCATCACGCTTTTTTGCACACTTCTTTGCCATCACAACTCGACACGACGCGCAAATACCTATTTTCACGTTTAATAGAGGACGTAAACCAGGGACGACGAAATTTTCTTCCTCTTTCTCAATTTGGCTATTCTTCTGAGGAATTCAACTCCAAGAGAGTTCGTCTACATTTCACAAAGTAAGCGAGTAGAAATATTAACTTTTAAGTGAGGGAGCTCACAATCAGATTTTCAGATCTATGGCCTGTTTCTCCACAGGCGGCCCAGACGTAGTGTGTGTCAATGACATGGACAAAATGGGATGAGTCGTCGAATCTCCCATGAACTAAAACAGTCTAGAAGTCAAAATATAACAAAGCAAAGCTAACATACCTTTAACTGAACGTCTCCTTGTCTTTCCTGGTCGGTTAAAGTAGCATATTGTCGAGTTTTGAACTCGTGGGTACTATCCAGAGTGCAAAACTCGACAAAATCCCACTTTAACCGGCCAGGAAAGACAAGGAGACATTCTGTTTGTGAGCTTGGAACCGTGCTAATATTCAACAGGTTTACCTAGGTTTTGATTTTAAAATTTGCCTTCGGACCCGAAAAGTTACCGGGCCTTTCGAGAGACGGGCCCCAGGCCACTGAAGTCAAGAGAGCGCACAAACCGAATACAATGCCATTGCCCCCAATGACAAAAAGAAGTTTATTCGAACTGGGAAATAAAATTGCTCCACTTTGAACAAGCGAGTCTTACTCACATTTGGAGCACGATGCTTGACCTTGTCCAGACGTGAAGCAATCATTTTTACATTTGCCACAAAAAGTTGACCTGAAACGAGCACAAAACAGTTACAACTGTTAAACACATTTATGGTAACAATAATATTTTCCCAAAATCTTGCTCCATGGTTGCAATTTCAACTGTTCTTTAATTCTCTACGAAAAATGAAATGAATCAACAAGGTCATCAAAAGAGGCATATTGTCTTAGGGCCTGTTTACATGGAGGTGGGGGACACCAGATAGGTGGGGTAACGTGTGGCGGGTCACCCCACGTATCATGTAAAGGCGATCACATTAAAGTGAGAGATTATATGGACAGGCGGGACCTCCATGTAAACAGGCCCTTAAACTGGGAAGTTGAGTGCCACCTCCCCCCAACCGCTTGTAAATAGCCAACTGGTTCGCCTCAGGCCAGCTGGATTCTTAACCCGTTTATGTTTTATTTAATTTATTTGTTTCAGGGATTTGCTAGGCCCCACTAGTATTAGTGCTATAAATACTGCTGAGGGTAAATAAACGAATTTTTATTATTGTTATCAAAATAATTACTTATTTATTTAATTTTTATTGGCACTGATGGGTTGCCCATTGTGCCACTTTACTCCCTTTGTATTAACACTTTTTCTGAACCCCTCAATTGCTGCTTCATTGGCACATTTGTAACCAGAAGCATATAACTCCGCTTCTGTTGTAACTCAAGAGTTGATCTATTAAAGCCTGGGTTTGTGCTCCCTGTAAGGGAATCACTCTATTACCGGTGTGATGAAAACTCACCCTTCCTTTGAAGAGAATGTATCCTTTCCACACAACGTACATGTTTTAGCCCTCTCTTTTGAACCATAAGTACCAGCCGGACAGCTATGAATAAGACAAAAAGAAACAAAATACATAACAATAACTACACCTGTAAACTGCCCCTTATACATCTCAGTAGGGATTTCAAGAGGGCTTTTAAACCAAGGGATTTACATCTGAGGAGCCTTATACAGGGTTGTCACTAAGATTTCAAGTTACTGGGAGGTAAATACAACAAGTAGGCGGGGAATCAAACAGCTAGGGATTCCTTTTGGATCTATTTTTCTTCTTTTTCTTATATGACAGTAGCCGGGGACCACATTCATAGTAGCCAGGGGAATTCCCCGACCCCAGGCTCTTAATGACAGCCCTGCTTATAACCAGACTAGAAAAAGCACTTTGACAGAAGCTATAGCACAGTTGATCAAAATTTGTTTTGTATTTACTGGTTTTCAATGGGGCTTCAAAGTGTCATAATAAATCAACTTCACATCAATACAAGTTAAGGGGGGCTTATACCCAAGGGGCTTATATCCAGGATGGGGGGCTTATTATCAGATATAATCTTTTGTTTACAGCTAGATTAGGGGGGACTTATAAGTAGTAGCTACAGTATACCAACTATTTCTCCATGATATTTTGCAGCTATAATCTCACCACTTAATAATGGTAATAGGACAGAGTGGAGTCCAATTTGGTCTGTAATCATATGAGTGATTGACAAAATTGGATATCTATGTAGCGGGAGTCTGATTTGCGCTGATCAGACCAGAGTTTTTATTGTTTCGAACGCTTACCGAAACCATTTTTCAAGGTCATACGAAAATCGCTCTACATGTACTGCAATCTGTAACAGATTTTGCACGGTTCTGTGTAAACGGGTTGCAGACGAAGAAAATTCGCCGGTTTAAAAATTTGTCCGGTACCCTGTAAACGGGTTCTTGTAGACAGCGCTAGCTCGTTATAAAACATCAGCGAGAGGATTTAAGCCAATCAGGAACCGAGCAAAATAACATTTTGAATGAATAATAAAGCCTTTTGTATCGAAACGATTGGTGGCGCAGTTGAGAAGGTGACGTTCTGTCGGTCCAACGCCGTCGCAAGTTTGACTCCTACCACGACACCTCTTTACTCGAGGCTCATGTGATTGTCCCCATCTTCAAGTAGAGGAAACAACCTTAAGACCCGACGACAGCGACCTAAACACTGAAAATCGGTATTTACACGTAGTAGTCGTGCAGTGACGGATGCGCGTGATGCACGTGCAAAGCTGACAACACTTTGCACGTGCATCACGCTTTTTTGCACACTTCTTTGCCATCACTGCTCGACACGACGCGCAAATACCTATTTTCACGTTTAATAGAGGACGTAAACAAGGGACGACGAAATTTTGTTTTTCTTTCTCAAGTTGGATATTCTTCTGAGGAATTCAAATCCAAGAGAGTTCGTCTACATTTCACAAAGTAAGTGAGTTCAAATAATCACTTTTAAGTGAGGGAGCTCACAATCAGATTTTCAGATCTGTGGCCTGTTTCATACAGGCGGCCCAGACGTAGTTTGTGTCAATAACATGGACAAAATGGGATGAGTCGTCGAATCTCCCGTGAACTAAAACAGTCTAGAAGTCAAAATATAACAAAGCAAAGCTAACATACCTTTAACTGAACGTCTCCTTGTCTTTCCTGGCCGGTTAAAGTAGCATATTGTCGAGTTTTGAACTCGTAGGTACTATCCAGAGTGCAAAACTCGACAAATTGCCACTTTAACCGGCCAGTAAAGACAAGGAGACATTCAGTTTGTGAGCTTGGAACCGTGCTAATATTCAACAGGTTTAGCTAGGTTTTGATTTTAAAATTTGCCTTCGGACCCGAAAAGTTACCGGGCCTTTCGAGAGACGGGCCCCCGGCCCCTGAAGTCCAGAGAGCGTACAAACGGAATACAATGCCATTGCCCCCAATGACAAACTTTTTAAAAGAAGTTTATTTGAACTGGGAAATAAAATTGCTCCACTATGAACAAGCGAGTCTTACTCACATTTGGAGCACGATGCTTGACCTCGTCCAGACGTGAAGCAATCATTTTTACATTTGCTACAAAAAGTTGACCTGAAACGGGCACAAAACAGTTACAACTGTTAAACACATTTATGGTAACAATAATATTTTCCCCCACATCTTGTTCCATGGTTGCAATTTCAACTGTTCTTTAATTCTCTACGCAAAATGAAATGAATCAACAAGGTCATCAAAAGAGGCATATCGTCTTAGGGCCAGTTTACATGGAGGTGGGGGACACCAGATAGGTGGGGTAACGTGTGGCGGGTCACCCCACCTATCATGTAAATGCGATCACATTAAAGTGAGAGATTATATTATATGGACAGGCGGGTTACCTCGGCTACCTGGGGTCCCCCACCTCCATGTAAACAGGCCCTTAAACTGGGAAGTTGAGTGCCGCCTCCCCCCAACCCCCCATTCCACCCCCATGGTCTTAATCTCTCTGTAATGGCCATCTTTCTACAATGGTAACAGCCACAAACGCCTTGGCCTGTCAGTAAGGGCCAGTTAAAAGCCAAGGATCACGATGTACAGTCAAACTGAAGTAATCACTACACCTTTGACATCTACATCTACGGCTACACTAATTGTAACACGTTTTGTGTGGAGGCAGTGTGGCCAAGCAGTTAGAGCGCAGGACTTGTAATTTGAAAGGCTCCGAGTTCAAGTCCCGCCCTGACTGCTAGCTAGTTTTTTTTTTCTCGGTTAAGTCCCGAGTTCAAATCCTTGACCATGCTTGTAAATAGCCAACTGGTTTGCCTCAGGCCAGCTGGATTCTTAACTTGTTTATGTTTGATTTAATTTATTTGTTTCAGGGATTTGCTAGGCCCCACTAGTATTAGTGCTATAAATACTGCTGAGGGTAAATAAACGAATTTTAATTACTGTTATCAAAATAATTACTTATTTATTTAATTTTTATTGGCACTAATGGGGTGCCCATTGTGCCACTTTACTCCATTTGTATTAACACTTTTTCTGAACCTTCAATTGCTGTTTCATTTGCACATTTGTAACCAGAAGCATAATAACTCCGCTTCTGTTGTAACTCAAGAGTTGATCTATTAAAGCCTGGGTTTCTGTAACCTGTAAGGGAATCACTCTATTACCGATGTGATGAAAACTCACCCTTCCTTTGAAGAGAATGTATCCTTCCCACACAACGTACATGTTTTAGCCCTCTCTTTTGAACCATAAGTACCAGCCGGACAGCTATGAATAAGACAAAACGAAACAAAATACATAACAATAACTACGCCTGTAAACTGCCCCTTATACATCTCAGTAGGGATTTCAAGAGGGCTTTTAAACCAAGGGGTTTGCATCCAAGGAGCCTTATACAGGGTATACAACAAGTAGGCGGGGAATCAAACAGCTAGGGATTCCTTTTGGATCTATTTTTCTTCTTTTTCTTATGAAAGTAGCCGGGGACCACATTCATAATAGCCAGGGGAATTCCCCGACCCCAGGTTCTTAATGACAGCCCTGCTTATAACCAGACTAGAAAAAGCACTTTGACGGAAGCTATAGCACAGTTGATCAAAATTTGTTTTGTATTTACTGGTTTTCAATGGGGCTTCAAAGTGTCATAATAAATCGACTTCATATCAATACAAGTTAAGGGGGGCTTATACCCAAGGGGCTTATATCCAGGATGGGGGGAGGCTTATTATCAGATATAATCTTTTGTTTACAGCTAGATTAGCCTTTTACTAGGGGGACTTATAAGTAGTAGCTACAGTATACCAACTATTTCTCCATGATATTTTGCAGCTATAATTGCACCACTTAATAATGGTAATAGGACAGAGTGGAGTCCAATTTGGTCTGTAATCATATGAGTGATTGACAAAATTGGATATCTATGTAGCGGGAGTCTGATTTGCGCTGATCAGACCAGAGTTTTTATTGTTTTTCTAACAGAGGTCATCATTTGCTCTTTCAACAACAATACGCTCCAGAAATGAACCCATGGCAAACCTTTAACATCAGGGCTAGTGCCCAGTTTTTCCCAACATAAGCTACACCTACTACTTGGGACGTTGTTTTCACATTTTTTGACGAAGTTCCAAGATAAATTTGCAAGTTCATGGCAAGCAAATAGTGCCAATAGCTGAAATGAGTTTCAAATATGTTGTACAGACATGTATTTGATAAGATTTCTACCAAATTTTGCGGCATTTTTCGTATTTTTGTGAATTTCACGGGATTTCCAGGATTTACCTGAATTTCGCGGCTCTGCAACCGTGCGAAATATCAGAAGCCCGGCAATCAGCTTTGAGAATTTTGATATAGTTATGATTAGTTGTATAATAATACCACACATCCTATTAATCTTTACTTGACACTTTACTGTTGGATAAATGATTCTCTGTCATTCAGTGGCATGAACCTGAGAGTTCACCCATATTGTATGCTTCATTATCAAGAGGCAAAAAAATATACATTTGCATAGCTAACCTGGTACATTTCTCCACGGTTTTGTTCATCACAACACCAGGGCTGTAACTTCCAACAGGACATGGCTTGCACAGAATGTTACTTTCAAGGAATTCCCCTGGGGCACAGTGTACTAGACAAGGGAAGAAAGGACAGCCAGTGGAAAAAATACGACAAGAGACAAAAGAGTTTTTTGGTCAAATAATTATTGTCATTATATCTCTTAGTAATTTTACAGATGCTCATAATCCAAGAAAAAAACTTTTAGCCTGGCCCCAGTTGTTCAAACGTTGGATAGCGCTATCCAACGTTTGAACAACTGGGGCCTGGACCTTAGAAAGACTTTGAAGACCTTTCCCAGATTATGACTGTTCAAAGAAGCAGAAACATTTGCAAAGTTCTGACCCTAGACCTCTCAAGTGATCCGTTAGCCGAATTAGGTTCCTTTGTATCACTCCCAGAGCTACCACAATGACTGGTTATTATTAATATTTATTCTATTATTATTATTATTATTATTAAAATTATTTACAGATAGATGAGATACCGTACATAATGGTTCATTGTTTCCAGTTGCTCTGAACAAAACAGGCTCTTGTTGCCTCCTTGTCTTTTATAAATGTATTAAATTTCACATTCAAGTTCAGACTCATATTCCATTTGCTTATTGCACAGCAACAAGAGGAGTCCACAATCCTAATCTCCAGGTTATTATGCGTGCGTCACACATATGTAGCCAGCCTTTGTTTGGACTTCCACTAAGAATGAATGGGATGCACATAACCCAATTTGATTCACACATTTGGACCTCCTATCAATCGTAATCTGATCATGCGTGTTTTGACCGTCTGTCATGTGAAACTTATGCAAAGCACAGCATTAGAGCAAAAGAGTTTTGACCTTCGATCGTTCTCGCTCACACTCCGTAACCTTTGGTTATTACTAGTTTGTTAAATTACCTGGACAGTTACGGTCCACAGTGCAATTATCACAAGTCACTTGATCCACTCCAGGTGACAAAACAGGAGGCAGAAATACATTGCTGTGAACTGCATTACAACTGAAATTACAATTCTGTTGACAAGACAGAAAGCATAATTTTTTGGTAACTCAGAGCTCCATGCTCAAATATGAACAGCATAGATAAAATGTAAAAATTGTTCTCAAATAAATTTAAAAACACACTGGGGCTGGGGGGGGGGGAGGGGAGAACTATAATTTATTAATCCATCTATAAGTGGCAACTGATTCCCTTTTACTGTCACCTAAAGTTCAAATAAAACCTCTATAGCAGTTAATTATCTTTTTATATTCTCCATCAAACTGGTTAACCAGCACTAAATAGTTGTTTACTATTTTACTTGACAGTCAGCACTCAAATACAGGCCACATTTCCGGGTCTAAGTACAGCAGATTATCTGCATGCTTAGGATAAAAAGACAGAGCAAAAAGTGTCCTCTAGAATCATTATCCATAATATAATGCTGTCTTAGATCTAGCAAAATATGCTTGAGCAGAGACTTGTACTTTAAACCTGCCTAGTCACTGCATCCAAATCACTGACCTCCAAGCTAGCTGAGGTGTTGCTGTCCTTGATTCTCATAACAGGACCTTCTTTAGAACTGCTGGAATCTTGAAAGACACAATCTTTAACAACACTCCTCGATACTCCTTCCATCACAATAACTGAACCATTAAGCCCTTTATTTCTGACAAATAAACTTTCACTGAGATTTAAACTGCCAGAACTTTTGATTCCCAGTAGAGTGCCAGAATTTGAAATAAATCTTGAGGTGGACACAATGAGATGTGAAAACTGTGAGGTGATAATTTTTCTTCCAGGAGAAAATTCTTTGTTTCCTTCAAAGTGTGAATTGATAATGGAAGCTTGCAAGTTTGCTATGAAGATGATGGATCCGTTATTAGCTGAAAAATTGCAATACTTGATTTGCAATTGAGTATGATAACCTAGAAAAGAGTTCACTGAAAGAATAGGTAGCATCTGTTTATAACCAGAACTGTTTGCAATGCTACTGTCTTGAAGAACAATATTTGATGAGCTTCCAAGGATGCTGATATCAGTTTCGTCCATGGTGCTTTGACAGATGGTTAAATCAGATAACAAAGCTTTATGTAACACAGGGCTCCCCTTTTTCCAATGTAGGTCAATAATGCTCATTTTACACAACTGCACATCAAAAGAGACATCGACTTGCACAACATTTTCACCTTGTCTATTGAAAAATGTTAACAGAAGCTAATTAATGTGGTTGAACTCAATGAATAATGCATTTGCACATTTAAAGGAAACATGTACAATGTAGGCAGACACAGAATACGCAGGAGAATGATTAAAGCCACATAATTGAGGCCCTCACAGGCAGAGCACGTATGTCCCCAGTCTGAATTTCAAAACCATTTGTTTTTATGTATTGAGGAAGAGGCCATGTTGCTGTCAGAATTTTACTAATAAATTGTATTTGCTATTCTTCTTGTTGCTGTTGCATTTTCAACCCATCCTCAGATCATTTTGTCATTATTTCATCGGTCTTATGTCACTGTTTCAAGGCCATTCTCACTTGTTGGAATTTTACTCTAACAGGGCTAGCCTCCTGCGCAGACGTTCTTAGGGTTTGGTCACCATGTGTTCCTGCCCCACAGACAGGAACACCCGATGAATCCCTAAGGATGTCTACGTAGAGGCTATGACAGGATCTCATAAAAATATTGTGGCAATAATGTAAAAAATTCCCACTGATAATTGAAAATTACTGGACGAGGTTGAGCAAAATATCGTGATTTTCCGTGGCCACGAGATCAATTATTTGCCAAAACCCGAAGGCTAAGGCACGATATTTTGCCATAACTGCAACAGCAAGAAGGAGAAAAGTGTGGTTTCATTTATGCATGAGCAGAATATTATTTGCAGCCAAACAAAGTTGAACGACATTGCGCATGAGCAGTTATTTGTATGCAGTTATTTGCAGGTCACATAACAGGCTCTTGGCCATTGAAGGACTGATATTTGAGTGTTATTTGTAGCCCTGATAAGCGTAATAGAAACTAAACAAAGCTCCACTGGAAAAACTAACCATGCACATATATATTTGGGGACATTAGAAACATCAATAATATTATTAACCTTATCTCAAAATCTTGAGAGCAGTTTTAAGAAGCATTAGAGTCTTGTTTTCATGTGTTTCTTTCTGTTTTGGAGTTTACAACTTTTTGATGAAAGGCCTCAGACTTTTAAACAAGGGTCCCAGCAGTTCTTCTAGGAATTGAGTATTTGCCATGTTTCATTACAGCGGTGAGGGCTACACAAGAAACCAAGACTAACTAACGTAATTTTGTAGATCCAGTGTGAGACAAAATACTCCTAGGGGCAGTGGAGAAGGGCCTGATTGTTTTTACCGTGTATAAAGTGACGATGATGATGATGATGATGATGATGATGATGATGATGATGATGATGATGATGATGATGATGCTAACTGTAATGCCTGGAACGAGGTGCACGTGTATAAGGGGAGGTGGCGGGGGGAGGTTGGCTGGTGCAGCTATCAACCAATAATAATGTCACTTTAAAGTACATCATTCTTTTATAGACAGGTTTGCAGTGAGTGTTCTACTTTAAGTTAAAGAATTACATCTATGTACTTGCTTATAAACACATTAGCCATGACATTAAGCTTAAGTTTTATACCTTTGTCCCCAAACAGAAATCCTCTGCAACTTCGATCTGCCACAGTCAATTTTAATGCTGCGTTCCTCCTCGTAAACACCCCATGAAATATTGATTAGAACCGAGCTGTATTCCAATGTCTGGTTTACAGCGTACGATATTGTCTTACAAGGACTTTCTATCGATCCACAATTTCTCGAGTCATCCCCCGCTGTAGCATTAACAAAGACAGAATTTTCCGTAAATACTGGACATGGAGCACGTAGATCCCCATCCTGAAGAGATATCATCGGTAAAACTGGAAGAAACATGAATATAGTCCTAAACTCCATGGTTGCTTTCATTTAGTTATGCAGTGAAACTTCTATAACTTGCATTGTTCTTCAGTATAAACACTTGTCCTTGGACTTTGCCCGCCATTGCGTTCAATTTCACCCTTGCCCGAGAGGGACTAAGAATCAATGTGGTAAGTACTATACATGTAGACATATATCATGTACCTACCATAACTTGAGAATCCGCTGGCCGCGTGTCTGGCTGGCCAACGGTTTACCGGGCAATCACACGAATAAATAAACATTAATGATAACCACCATTATTTTCTTTTTTCAAGGAGAAAAATAGCCCCAGTCACAACTCACGAAAAACCTATGGGGTATGAATCAATCGATCTGTTTGACGAGATCGTCTGTAACCCCACCCACAGTCTCCATAGCCTCCTCCCCCAAAGGAAGAGTTGTAAATATGCTCTGAGACGCAAAAGTGATTTCACTCTCCCCCTATGTAAAACCGAGCGTTTGAAGAAAAGTTTATTATTAGCCATGTCTATAAGATGTAGATAATTTTTCTTATTTTCTCTTTGTTATCATCAGTATTTGTAAATATCCCGTAATTCAGCCTATGGCTGCAATGGTGTGTATAATAAAGTATCTATCTATCTATCTACCTACCTTCTTCATCTCCCCAACATGAAATCTCATATAACCCCACTATTATTGGGTGAGAGTATTGGCTAATGGGGAATTACCTGAAGGTGATGTATGAATGAGGGCAAGTTGTTGGCCCAAAATCCTATTAGACTAAGCTCTTATTAACAAATTGATGCAATCATTGTTTGAATATACAAAAGAACTAGCATTTTCTCAGTCCATAACTGAAAATGGCTTCCCCAACCCCTCGCCCCTTAAGAGAAAAAAGAAAGAACTTACTGCAGAATTTAAGTTCAGAGAGTAGGCGCTCCAGCTACTTTGCGACTGACTCCTTAAATTAACGATTAGGGTAATAAAAAAAAAAACAGTCATAGTCGAAACTATGACAGGAAGCGGACTATATGAATTGCCATGGCCAAGTGACAACTAGAGCTAGAAAGTGGCAAAACAAAACAATAGCTCATTTATCGCAGAAGAGTTTGGACGAAAAAAAGGCTCATCCTCGGTGTAAGAACCTGTAAAACTCACGAGTGACGTTAAACAAAGAAAACCAGGAAGTCCGCAAAATAAAACCTGGGAAAACAAGGGCTAGAAAAGGTAGAAAGGTCTAGTGAAACCGCACCTATTTTATATTACTAGCCACCAAATATACCTTTTTTAGCTTGAATGTTTTTTTTCCCAATTCAGACCACGAAATATTTTCTAGAAGAATTTGCCTTTAAATAATGCATTCATATTCATGTGCATCCACGAGGACGATGTTTGAAAAAAACATTTCTCTAGGATACCATCACGTGGTCTCTGGGAAAACAAAACATACAAACTAAAAAGGTCTATCACGAGGGCATATGTGTAAGACCTCACACTTTCTACTGGCCGGGTTTGGAGTTGCTTACGCATTTCACTGGCTGGAATATTAGGATATTTGGTAGTTTCTCGTCTTCAGTGAACTGTTGGACTGAGAGCCCTATTTGCATAAGGAACAATGCCACGTTATTAGCTGGAGTCGAAGTATTGTTTCACTCTTCATGGAACAGTGATCTCTCTAATGGTGTTGTTCACACCAATCTGTTTAATGGCTCTGCTTGTATTACATTCTTCCGACGTCCATGGATCAGCTACTACGTTCCACCCGAGTTCCTGGGAATTTTGAATATGCTTGATTTCTCATGTCGGTTACGCCTACGTAGGCACAGGTGTCCAATAGCCTACTATGCAAATTCATGTGCCTCATTCCATCAAGTGCTAATTGGCGATCTGGTCTTCAAACTTAATCCTGGTCCTGAGGGATGCGGTATATCAACAATTGTGAAATCACGCCATCAAAATAATGGAACTTTACGGGCGCCTCAATCACGTTCTTCATTGTCTAAATCAACAACTAGGAATGTCTCAAACTTTACTAAAGTGCATTGTTTGTCTGCCAACTACGTAAATGGGGTCTTTTTGTCATTTTGTCACATGAATGCCCAGTCGGTGCGCAACAAGACAGCCGATTTTGTAGATTACGTCTGTGAACGTAGATATGACTTGGTTGTGATTACCGAGACGTGGCTCCAGCCCCATGATGATGCGCTAAGAATAGAACTGTGTCCTCCTGGTTACAAGTTTATTGACTTTCCACGACAAGAACGGATAGGTGGAGGCATTGGACTACTGTACAAGGATTCACTTCGTGTTAGCACGACTCGAGATGGAATTCAAGAGTCGCTTGAATTTTGCGAGTTGTTGGTCCAAACGTCGACTTCCCGCAAGATACGGCTTGTGATCGTCTACCGTCCACAGAATTGTGATGACCACCGCAGGGTTCCCATTAACACTTTTCTGATGGAGTTTTCTGACCTGATGGAGTCCACTATTCTATCCAAAGAGCCTTTGATTGTCGTTGGTGATTACAACATACATGTGGATGTTCCTAATGACACTGATGCACTTAAGTTTTTAGATCTGCTTGAGTCTCTCGGTTTGGAGCAGCATGTGACAGAGCCAACGCACATACGTGGTCACACCCTGGATCTTGTTATAACAAGAAAGATTGAGGATATTCTGGCGAGTCCACCACGCGCCTGTCGCTATTTCTCCGATCATGCAGCTGTACATTGTCATGTTGCCATAAGTAAGCCTTCATTTCAGACTAGGATAATAAAGTTTAGGAAAACTAAATCCTTGGACGCTGAGAGCCTATCGAACGATGTAGTACTTACAGGGCTATGTGATCGAGGTAATAGCGATCCCATCACCCCACTGGACTTGGATGTACTTGTTGAGGATTACACGACCACACTCTCTCAAGTTCTTGATCGCCACGCACCTTTAAAAACCAAAACAGTGCGGGCTAGGCCCAAGGTACCCTGGTATACCAGTGAGATAGCCGAGGCAAAAAGGCGACGCCGGAAAGCAGAACGGAGATGGAGAAGAACACGATCACAGGAAGATTTGTTGGCATTCAAGAAACTCAAGAACCACGTTACTTATTTAAGTACACGGGCTAAGCGTGCTTTCTACTCAGACTTTGTGAACGACAATAGTGAAAACCAAGGAAAGCTATTCAGGGCCACTCGATCATTGTTACTTCCTAGGAATGAGTTGTGTTTTCCAGAATACACGGACAACTCAATCTTAGCCAACGATATCGGGCGGTTTTTCGACCGTAAGATTGCAAAGATTCGGGCAGAGCTTGATGCGTGTACTCTTCATCCTGGGGCGGTGGCTGAGGATAAAGTGTTTACAGGCGATAGGAAACTTGATCATTTCAATACGTATTCTGTGGAAGATATAAGGAAGCTGGTCAGTAGATCATCGAAGAAAAGCTGTCAACTTGATCCTATGCCGACCAATTTAGTAGTCGGCATGTCCGATATGCTTCTCCCCATCATCACTAATGTCGTGAATTCTTCACTTTCCTTGGGACACTTTCCATCTGATTGGAAAACGGCCCTTGTGGATCCAAGACTGAAGAAGACCAAGCAAGGGACTTCCTTATCCAATTTAAGACCTGTGAGTAATCTGCAATACCTCTCTAAATTGGTTGAAAGGGCAGTTTATGATCAGACAACCGATCACGTTACTCAGTCGGGTTTGTATCCCATCCTCCAGTCAGCCTATCGACTTGGTCATAGCACAGAGACTGCCCTATTGAAGATACAGAATGACATACTAGCTGCAATGGACAATCAACGAGTTACTCTTTTGGTATTGCTAGACCTGAGTGCAGCATTTGACACGATTGACCACCAAGTGTTGTTGAATCGCCTGTGCGTGACGTATGGAATTACAGGTACCGCTCTTAAATGGTTTCACTCGTATTTATCAAACAGGAAACAGCGAATCCTGATTAACGGGAGCTATTCGAGTGACTTTGATCTGCCTCAAGGGGTACCTCAAGGATCATGTCTTGGTCCCTTGCTCTTCACGTTGTACGCAAGTAAGCTCTTCGATGTTGTTGAATCCCATCTCCCTAACGTTCACGCATACGCTGATGATACGCAGCTCTATATCTCATTTAAGCCGGATGGTTCTGCTACTGAGACGGATGCTGTTGACGCTCTACAAGCTTGCATCAGGGACATAAGAACCTGGATGGTCCAAGACAAACTTCGGCTGAACGATGCTAAGACCGAGTTTCTTATTATAGGTACACGCGCACAGTTAAATAAGGTTATGATAAGTGACTTGCAAGTAGGTGAGGTAAAGGTTTCTGCGGTTTACTCTGTTAGAAACCTGGGTGCTTGGTTTGATGCAAACATGAATATGACCACACATATTAACAGCATATGTCAGAATATTTATTACCATCTACATAACATCCGGCGTATTAGAAAGTATTTATCATATGATAATAGGAAGTCCATTGTACAGGCTATTATAATGTCACGATTAGACTATTGTAACGGTCTATTATATGGTACGCCCGCTGTTCATCTTGGTAAGCTGCAACGCCTGCAGAACGCGGCAGCTCGGCTGGTATGTACTATATCTAGGTATGATCCTATCACACCATCCCTGATCAACCTGCACTGGCTTCCGGTTACCCACAGAATAGAATTCAAGATAGCAATGCTAGTTCACAAATGTATCTACGGCGTCGCACCACAATATCTTTTAGACTTGATAAAAATCAAAGAGAGCTCGCGGTATCAGTTGAGATCATACCGGGGCATACTCCTAATGGACAATACCTATAGAACAAAAAAGACACTCGGGGATAGGGCGTTTGAAAATGCTGCGCCCAAAGTATGGAATCGACTCCCTCTAGAAATTAGACAATGTCAATCATTGAACATTTTTAAAGTTTTACTAAAGACACATCTTTTTAAATTAGCTTTTTATTAGTTCTTTTATTAACTCATATTTTACTTTTATTGTTTTCCGAAAATTGTAAATTATTATTATTATTATCATTATTTGGACTAGCCATTTATTCCTTTAAGATTTTAGTGTTGTAATGCGCACTCGATCATATCTTTATCGCATGCTAGACTGCGCAATATAAGAAATAAACATTATTATTATTATTATTATTATTATTATCACTAGGCTAAATAAGAACACCTGCACTTGCAGAACATATGAAAGAATCAAGGAAGTATTTTTGCCTGCCCTTCATTGGGAATAACGTTAACGGTTGAAAGGTTCTTTTCTCCTTAGTATAAGTGCCCGCCTCTGGTCAAGATGATCCTATTGCAGGTGCGTATCGCGTATCGTATGCCCGTTGTGTTTAAATTTTTTGATTTTAATAAATGTGACAAAGAGCACATAGTTTTTAGTTAGTAGACAGGATTTTATGCATTTTAGGCATGTACTGATGAACAGCTCTTACTGTTAGATATATTTGCAGGAGCGATTGTCGTTTATAGTCTATCTCCTTAGAATAATGACTCCTATAGCTATAATTTAAGATGACTAAAAGTTTGCTCCTGTTTTTATTTGCATGACTAATTTCATGTTTTCGTAAGAATGGGGCATTAAGGGGCCATAAAGACAATCTCCAAGTCCCTTGTACGAAACTAAATTTTGTGCCCAAAAGAAATTTAATCGCAGATGCTTCAGTGCACTGATTTACTCTGCGATTTTGCTTATACCTTTACTGAGTCTACGAAACACCTCATAAATGGTACTAGACAGCAACAAAGTGTTATTTAAATAATTTACCATTTCTTATTCTCCCCCGTTTTGAAGCTGAAGTTGATTAACAGAAAATCATAGTTTAGCCGTGACTTGACGTGCTAAAAGGAAGTAATCCCATTATCGTCAGCTGCTTAAAGCAGGCAGCCTTACTAGGTAATCAAGAATCTTTCGTCAATTTTATTCACAAACGAACTATTTCTTAAGCTTTTAACAAAGGAGATGACTTTGCGAAATCAAATAAATTATTCAATAGCTTCAGAGTGGAAACATGCCGTGTTTTGGCTGAGAAAAAAGAAACACCACAAAGTTAACTGTTGTAAAAGTCTTCTTATTATAAATTATATGGTTATTTGACGATATGATGAATACCAATATCCGTCCACCTAGCTAGTAATCGTGGACATGGATGTTCGATATAGCGTCATTGAAGTGTGTAACTAAGGTAAAAGCGCGTCTAGGTCAACCCGGTTTCCCTAACATAGCACTTTAGTATAAATACTTCCCTTCCCCCCATCCCCCCCACCCCCCGCTGGATAGCCCACCAGTATGTAACCTTTATACTCCTGGGGGGACACAGACAAAGTAGAGCAAAGTTCTCGTCTACGGAAACAGCGCAACGGTAATTAAAGGCTTCAAATTTATTTCTGCACATAACTTTCTGGTATAAAGACAATGGATTGACTTGTTTTCAGTTTAAAGAAGTCTCAAAGACCCTCAACAAACAGCCCGGGATTTTGACCAGAACTCATTTCTCTCCGTTCTCCTCCGATAAAACAGTAGATGTCGTTGTCTAGTTTTCCTCAATCACTCCTCACGCAATAGATCCTTTAACATCAACATCTGTATTTTTTCTTTTCTTTTACCCAATAGACCGCATAAGGCACTAAAAATGACGATCATGTAGAATAATTTTTTTTCCAAATGAAGGGGTATATCTACCAACTGGCTTTACAAGCCATGCATTTCGCATTGGAGATCCTGCGCGCGGCAAGCGCCAAGGGAAACTGTTTTACTGGGGCATTCTATTTTACCTATGGAAAAAATGTGGCTGATAACCACACCCTTACTGGTAATGGCATTACTAGCTTCAGTGTTCCAGAACCAATTGATTGCTTTAGAGCCTGTCGGCTGGAATGTCGGTGTATCTCGTTCAACTATAAACAGCGGCAAAACCTGTGCCAATTGAACGAGGAAAGCCGATATACTAACGCCAGCGCTTTGGGATTTGCGGAGGGATGGCAATACTACGATCTGGTTATCGACTACAACGTACAGGTAAGAAGGGAAAGAATTACCTCTTTAGGTGGTCAATTTTTCAAACTGTCGAATGTTGATAACGATTTTTCCTAAATAAGCTTACTGTACCAAACTAGGGGTATCTACCTCTGAATCAGAGGAAATAAGTAACGAAATTGTGTGGTTACGATCAAACGAGAGGTTGAAGATATTGTAGCCCGCGTGCAGACGTCACTCAGGTCACTCTCCTGTCTTTGTAGCGCGGAAAATGGGGCTGCAACAAAGGAAGTAGGAGGTACAGTAAATCTAATGTCATCAATGTGTCTAATGTCAAAAGCTGTAGAAATTGCAACTTTTCCAACCGAAGGTCTTTCTTCAAGTTAGGCGCTTGATACAAACGATCGATGCATTTAAGGGCATGCGAAAAGCGGAAGCTACCGAAAATAGGGTCAAAATTAATGGTGGAAGTAACAAAACGCAGTTTCTCTGTCAAATTCTCAAGTTATTATTTTCTTTTTAAGGGCAATGTTCCCGTTGTTCGATGTGAAAATGGCTGTTGCGAGGACAGTCCTGCCTGAATGGAGGAACGTGTCACGAGACCTGTGACATCATCGGCAAACGTTTCACGTGTGAATGCGGTCCGTATGCAACAGGGAACCTCTGTGAAACTGGTACAGCACTAGATTTAAGTTTCCTTCTCTTTTCGTTCTTTGTCAATTGAAGTGAGTGTTAACTTAAAATCAGATCACAGTCTTAATATATTGAGTGGAAATGACTGAGAAAAATAACAATCAACTTACTTACTTACTTACTTAGGCCGGGTGATCATCCCGAGTCGTCCTAATATAAAAATCTTTCCACACGACCTGATCTTATCTCTTTGGTATTGCCCAGTCCAGTGTCAGCCTTGATGGTGTCAATGTATGTAGTTCTTGGCCACCTAGATTTGGGGTGAACATGTTGAGGTTTTTGAAGCAGTCTCTTCATTGTGAGGAGCATAATGGCCAGCTAATCTTAATCTTCTTGCACGGATTGTTTCACTAACTCTTGAGAGGCTCCCGTATAGCTCCTGGTTGTTGATATGTTGTTGCCAGTGCACAGGACCGTTCGCAGCATTCTGTTGCACTTGTAGCATCAATCCACACTTTTCTCCAGCTTCTTGGTCTCGGTCCACGTTTCACTTCCATAGAGTAAGTCAAACTCCACAGTTGCTCTAAAAAGTCTGAACTTTTTTGCTTGTCGCTGCTTTGAGGTCCACACTTTTCTCATTCTGTTGCAAGCTACCCAAGCTGAAGTTTCAAACGGTGCTGTGCTGTTTAGTGTCGCTTGATTTAGCTGCGAGACTCTATAGGTGCAAGCGTTTCTTTTTCAAACTCTCGCCCCGCCGATTTGCCAACCCCCAAAAGGCAAAAAATGTAAGATTCTGAGGGAGTTGGTAAAAGTAGTGCATGAAAAATGGGTAAAAAGTCGTGAGATGTCCCAAATTTCCTAGTCGAAGGACTTACAGTGGGGATTATGGGTATTGGAAGTCACATACCACTTTAAAGCTTGAGCAGTAAACATCAAGATCAGTTTTGAGATTTCTATGTTTGTTGGTGGCACCCATCTTGAAACAAGAGAAACAGTAAGTCTGCACATTTGTTGGCAGCGGCAAGTCGCGGTATATAGGCTCAAGAATGTAATCAAACGCGACCGCTTAGCGTTTTCTTTGGATTGAGCTGGCTATCTTTTGATAATTATCTAACTTGGAAACGAACCCTACAGCTCCAATTTTTTTTTAGCGTTTGACTTTTCGAGAAAGCGTGAGAAATCATTTGCCAACTCGTAAGAGCGTGAGATAGGTCGTGAAATCGTGAGTCATATACACTGTTTAGGAGAAGACTCGCGCGAAAATGTGTTCCCTTTTTAGGACAGACGCGCGCAAAATTGTACACCCTGTTTAGGACAGAGACGAAAACCGCCCTGTCCAGCGGCACATCCCTATATTGGTCACATAAAGGAGTACCGACCCAGGGACGAACCTTAGCGTCACTGTGAAACTCATTTTCCATAGTGATATTCGGTTTATCACCCGACCAATGGAACTAAAAAAAAAAAAAAAACTTTTCATTCGCTTGGGCTTGTCATTGATAATGAACAACTTCTCAAAATGTCAGTGTGTGGTCGTAAGTTGGTAATTCTTATTATTCCTACTTGAGTGTACCTTGTGTAGCTCAATATTTAAAGTAGCTTTTGAACTTTTACCATTTGAATTTTTTTTCTACAGCGATCTGCTTCACCCCCGACTGGCTTCGCTTTCAAAATTCATGTTTCAAAGTTTTCACCGAAAAGCTAACTTGGTTTGACGCACAGAGTTCCTGCGCCCTAATCAACAGCAACTTAACGTCAATTCACAGTGCAGAGGAGAACGACTTTGTGCGCAAACTTGTACCGCCTGGTTCGCCTTCTGTATGGATTGGTTTCGCCGACTTATACAGCGAAGATGACCGCTTTGAATGGGTTGATGGCACGTACAAATCATTTACAAATTGGCATTATGGTGAGCCAAATAACATGGGACCTTATGGAAGCAACGAAAACTGTACGGAGTTTCGTTCTTCAGACGGAGGTTGGAATGACTTGAACTGTGCCTTCTATAATAAAACTTATGTATGTGGTAAAAAATTGAATCCTTAGTATAATAATTTATTTGTGTACCCATTGTTCACCTCGCCCTTTGTAAAGAAGCACAACTAGATCCTAGACGAAGCGAGGCACTCTTCTAGCATAATCAGAAACGCGACTGATGGCAAATGAAGATAGCAAAGTTCCGTAAAATCCTAGTATGATGAATAACTGGCCATTTAATAGGTACGCCATACAGTCGAAGAAACTACTAAGAGTGAAAACTCCAGAAAGCCTGCGTTGTAAATGGTCGCTTAACGGACATCACCGTAAGTAGGACACTTCTCTATGAAGCGGACACCTCTCGAACACAACAACTTAACCAAAACTGAATGCAGTAGATGACTGCAGCCCGATAGAATCTTTAATGCATATATAACCTCCGGATTTCAAGTCAAACCCTCCATGAAGCTGTCAGGCCTTTGAATAAACCCGGGGGTATCATAAGAGATTTTAGACGGACCCTGCAACCCTTAGCCTATAGCAGACCAGGTACACGACAAATTTGCTACCCTATATATTTTAGATAGACAACTTGAAGTCCATACCAAAATCCTCTGCTTTCTATTCCGCCCTGGCCCAGGCGTATCTGTTCGAAAACTATAATCCTTGCTGCAGCACAAAACCTTTCTAGCCCATGGCAATGCCTGGCTTTATTTTCAAGTCAAAAAGTCACTGTTAGAGTGGATTTGATTTATACTATGTTTCACTGTTTATTCAATGCTCAAGAAATTTACAGAGATCTTCACACTAAGACAACTTCTGAAAACTTTTGCCCCACTACGTCTCATAAGGTTTGCCGTTAACATTCGAAGACTGACTGGAAAACAAAGATAATCTACGGGATACTTGTTGCTAGGTAACAAGCGCGTAGGTGACGTGGTGAGCCAGAGGTGTGAGACGTTGTGACAGTAACTGAGTAATTATTAGCGATTTTAATGAAACTGAGCACATTCAATCCCATATGGTCGGAAAATGCGATCTAGAGTTTCAGCTCTACCGAAAACCATTAAAACATGGAGAAATTCAATCTTAGACTAGTTATGAGTATTCGCGAGTCTGAACCGGCCCGTGCTTCAAATGGAGGCTATAGTTTGGCGCTTTTCTTTAAGTTCTATTTTTAGCAACAAGAATGAGACTTGCCGAATTGACTCTTACTTATGCGCTCTTTAGCACTCCAATCAACTCTTAAGTTAACTTTCCTTCTCCATAGTGTCCACAGGGAAGCAGCACTAAAGTCTTGTTCCCACAACGATTCACCAAATAAAGGGCCATTTCCATGTTTGTAGAAAGGAAAGGTTTAGTATATTAAAGGAACCGTAATATTATCCAACAAGTTTTCTTGCTTCCTTGTTCAACATAAAATTTGATGCTTTTTCCTGGCGACTATTTTTACCGCTTTCTCTTCGAGCTACGACTGTCGTGATCCCTAAGAAAGAAAAGAAAAGAGAAAAAGAGGAAAAAGTATTAGAATAGCTTTCCCACGCTTGGCACTTAACTAGAAGTGTCTGCGCTGAACAAAAGTTTGCAACATTGCCGGTACATGTATTCCTGCATGTTATAGTTTGCTTCCTGTCTTTGGCGAAGCCCATGGCGCTAGTTACCTTTCCCCCGCCATTAGCACTGACTATACATTTATGTTTCCTGCATTTAACCATTTTAACGTGTGCCTTTCACTGGCTACAAATAAGTTTTCGCGTTCGGTGCTGGCTTATGTTTTCCCGCGCCACAAACAAGAGCGCAGGTTAGATCATTTTCTTTTCATTGGCACTGGCACACATGTCCAATACGCACGAACTGAGTCCGGTCGTCTAAAATGGAAGTCGGCCCGTCTAAAGAAAGTCTGGTCGTGATATGTGAAACGGATGTGAACTCGATTACCGGAAGTCTTATCGTGATCGGACAGGAAATCTTGATCGCCTACGTGCTCCTATGTATCATCTTGAGGGATCGTATCAGATGGAGACAGGTCGTTCGACTCAAAACTGCTAAAGAGGACATGATTTTTTAGTAGTGAGGCGGTGAACGTAACAAGAGCACCCCGAAACAAGCACGCTACAAATACAATATGACTCGTTCCTTAAGCCATAAAACCGACCAAAAGCAGGGCGAAACAATTACAAATGGGGCATAGGGACTAAAACCTCGTTTTTTGGCGCCAAAAAGAAAACGAATATTTTCCCAAACATTTACAAGTTAAAAATAAAAACGAAGTCAACAAATCACCAGAAAATGGTGACGAGCACACTAACCTTGACCGTGAAGGTTCGTCCAGAGGTCTCTTGCCCTTTTTAGCTTCTGTAAGAAACTTATCAAGACCGAAAGGATCTTCTTCTTCTTTCTCGAACTGCACTGGGCCATCACGGCGCTGACTACGATCCGTTCCAGCAAACCCTTGGTCAGGTTGAAACCTAGGGACAGAACAGTTTCAGTAAACAGATATCGTATTTCCTCGAAAGAACGCCTGTGCTCTAATTAGAGCCCTCCCCAGAACAAGCACCCACCTCCTAGGCCATATTACTATCAAACAAGCGCCCCAAACCCACACTTCTTTGAAAGGTTAACTTTATAATAGAGAACTTTAGATTCCGAGACGAGGACGACTACGAGTACCAGATTTTCACAATACTGTGTATTGCTCACGCGTGAACCAGCGTCATTTTGGCGGGAAAACGTGATAGCCGTCATCATTCTACTACAAGTTTCAGCGAAAATGTCGTAGTGGCAGGAACAAGTTATCAAAAGTAGGCAGTTTTATCATTTTGCTACCGGGAGAGGGCTTAGCCTTCTTCAGTATAAATAACCGTACTAACGTTTTTGGAGAAAAAAAAAAGTAAAATGAAACTTTCTGTGGTGTAGTTAAATCTCGTACTCGTACTCGTTCTCAAATCTTAAGCTCTCTAATGAGTGCCCCCTTCGATTAAGCGCCCTCCTTCAAATAAGCACCCCCCATCTTAGCCGTAATTTCAAATAAGCTCCCGGGCGCTTATTCAAGAAACTAAGGTACTTTTAACTATATGCTGGTATTTTGCAAGTAGTTCAAGCTGGTGATGGTGTCTAGAAATTATTTTCAACACATATTTCGCCATATCCTCTGACGGGATACTTCTGCTTTCTTACACCGCTCTTAAGGCCGTTCTCGCACCTTAAACCCATAATGACTCCAGCAAGTTTTCTTTGGTAGTCAGTGTGAAGTAAATGCCTGCCGTATTTTTTCCCACCTACTAAGCACGTGCAGTAGCGGTCACGTGACAACTCACCTGTTGGTTTGAACCAGCTTCTCCAAATCATCTCCGTACACGTCTCTGTCGACATTCTTACTTGGCCGGTAGATAGCGTTTGCTGTGCTACCCTCTCGTCTCCAGGCCTTGTCATACACATTGTAGACGTCATCTTCTCCTCCATAACCAGAATTCAGACCCTAACGGACGAAACGGTCATTTCAGGTCGCTTCAAAAGTGAATAACACTATGAAGCAGTTTTTGATTCACAAATGGAAGCCGAATGCTTTTGGGCAAGGGAGGAAGGAAGCTCTCGCAAAATAGACCCTAGCCCTGAAACAACACAACATCGTTGCAGAAAGAACGAAGGTTTCGGGTTTCGAGAAGCTTCATGAGAGTAGACAATTTTGGACGTTAAAGTTTTGCGATTTTGTCCTTTGATTACGGCAATTTTTGAGAATGATTGGTCTGTTCGACTAGAGGGATAAGTGGTCAAAAGTGTGACCCTATTAGACGAACTTGACAGTCCAAACGATTTGTCAGTCTTTATTATGAAAACAGCCATTATTATTTTATCATATTTTTCAAACTATTTAACTTTCCAAACGGAATTTAAGGTTTCCCCATGCAAATATTACGAGAAGTATAACATTGTGGTTGGTTTACTGCATAGTCCACCTGGATTTCCATGACTACATCAAAGGATCGAAAATCGGTCACCATTAGGTACTGACTGATTTAAGCCGTACATTACCTTGTCTTGATTGAATAACCGTTGATCATACAACGCTTCCTGAGAGGGAGGGGCTGAGGCTAGGCCTAACGCAATCTGTTCACTAATGTCACGCTCCTTGTCACGCTGAAGTTTAGACCTGTTGAAGGGAACAGCAGTAAAAATTCGTTATGATGCAACTTTGTATAATATTTTCTTCTTTTTTTCCCATTCCCCTTGATTGTTATATAAAGGTCACTGTGCTATCATGTAAGATCTATTGTTACAATCTGCTCACAGTTTAACTCACCTTTTATCAGGAGCGGCTTTTGATATTCTTCTATCTCGTTCTCTCTCCTTATGTCGCTCATGACGTAGTTTGTCTCTTTCTCTCTCTTCCTCTGGCCTGTCTAAATAGCGAGTTAGACCACGTTACTCATGAAGTAATGAAACTGGTAATTTCAAACGCTCCAGCAACCCTTTTAATCTAAAAAGTGGCCGAAGTAAAAGTTCAACAAAATTTCCAAATAAAATGCTAAACATCAAAAAGTACGTTGTGACAGTACTGTTGAAGAGGTTTCATTTGAATAGTCACAACAAAGGATTAAAAGTGAGAGCCCAGCACCTCAATATATACTTCGTCATTCAATCGGGAAGTAAACGAGTCAAACGACCAGCTTCTAAGTAACGATAAAATGAACTTTAAATAAAGCCCTTCACTATTGTTACTACTGATCGGCGAAAGATTCCATATTGTAATTTTCATATTGCCACTGAAGAACAACATGCAAAGATTATCGGCCATCTTTTATTTAAAGCCCACCCACCAGAGTGTTGCCAGACAAAATTGTCAGTAACGCTGAATTTCCACTGTCGCGTAATTTTTACGTGCGAACGTACGTTAATTTTATCCGCATAAACTATATAGAGGCGATGAATGGAAGGCAGCGAGCAAACGTTAAAGTTAAGCGAGGTTCACTTTTACGTTTACGCGTGACCTTCCATACATCGCTAGTATTTTATTAATGCGCGTAAACTTTACGTGCGCACGCCACGTAAAAATTACACGACAGTGGAAATGCAGGCTGCTTAACAGTTTGATTGTGCTTCATAAAACACCGGACAACGAGAAAAACAAAACTTCAACAATAATACAGCGTTAAGGGAAAAAAAGGAGGCCCCAAAAACTTAAGATAAACTGCCCGTTTAATTACATGCACACGGTCTTCAACACAGACTAAATATTTTCCGTCCCATTTACTAGTCTACTTTACACAATGATGTGAAAGCTACGCGCGCAGTGATTGGTCGTTGCCCATGATCTATTAGAGTAAAGATACATGAATGACGTCACGGAAAACTTGTTTTCCTTGCTACGTTCAACATGGCGCGCGGTTTCGAAAATGTTGGTGAGGTTATTTCGGATTAAGCAAGTGAAAGCCTCGAAAAAAGTTTAGCAGGAGCTATTCACAAAGACGAAAAATGGAAAGACGGAGACAAAAAGAGTTCTTGACATCTTGAGAATACCCAACTCATGTCTGTAAACTGCAAGAAAACTTCCTAACAGTTACCATCGTGTGTCATCACTACGACAGACTCGCTATCCTTCAAAAATAATGTTTTCGCCATTATTCCGCTTTGAGCAAGTGAAGACGTTGAAAATCTTTTCGAAGAAACTATTTACGAGTAAGATAAAGAAAATAGAAGAAGCAGAGACGAAAAGTACCGTTTGGGACTTCAAAAGCTGTAGAAATTGCAACTTTTCCAACCGAAGGTCTTTCTTCAAGTTAGGCGCTTGATACAAACGATCGATGCATTTAAGGGCATGCGAAAAGCGGAAGCTACCGAAAATAGGGTCAAAATTAATGCTGGAAGTAACAAAACGCAGTTTCTCTGTCAAATTCTCAAGTTATTATTTTCTTTTTAAGGGCAATGTTCCCGTTGTTCGATGTGAAAATGGCTGTTGCGAGGACAGTCCTTGCCTGAATGGAGGAACGTGTCACGAGACCTGTGACATCATCGGCAAACGTTTCACGTGTGAATGCGGTCCGTATGCTACAGGGAACCTCTGTGAAACTGGTACAGCACTAGATTTAAGTTTCCTTCTCTTTTCGTTCTTTGTCAATTTAAGTGAGTGTTACCTTAAAATCAGATCACAGTCTTAATATATTGAGTGGAAATGACTGAGAAAAACAACAATCAACTTACTTACTTACTTAGGCCGGGTGATCATCACTTAAGCCGGGTGATCATCCCGAGTCGTCCTAATATAAAAATCTTTCCACACGACCTGATCTTATCTCTTTGGTATTGCCCAGTCCAGTGTCAGCCTTGATGGTGTCAATGTATGTAGTTCTTGGCCACCTCGATTTGGGTGAACATGTTGGGGGTTTTTGAAGCGGTCTCTTCATTGTGAGCAGCACAATGGCCAGCTAATCTTAATCTTCTTGCATGGATTGTTTCACTAACTCTTGGGAGGCTCCCGTATAGCTCCTGATTGTTGATATGTTGTTACCAGTGCACATTCAGGACCGTTCGCAGCATTCTGGTGTAGCATCAATCGACACTTTTCTCCAGCTACTTGGTCTCGGTCCACGTTAGCCTGAGTATCAGGCCTTCCTAAGGGGCTAGGGAAGCCTTTTCCACCAGAACCGCCTGATACTCAGACTAGGTCCACGTTTCACTTCCATAGAGTAAGACAGACTCCACACTTGTTCTAAAAAGTCTGAACTTCTTTGCTCGTGGCTGCTTTGAGGTCCACACTTTTCTCATTCCGTTGCAAGCTACCCAAGCTGAAGCTTCAAACGGTACTGTTTAGTGTCGCTTGCTTTAGCTGCGAGATCTAAAAATGCAAGCGCTTCTTTTTCAGACTTCCGCCCCGCCGATTTGCAACCTCTAAAGGCAAAAAATGTAAGATTCTGAAAGAGCCTGGGGAAAGTAGTGCATGAGAAATGGGTAAAAAGTCGTGAAATGTCCCAAATTTCCTAGTGGAAGGAGTTACAGTGAGGATTATGTGTATTGGAAGTCACATGCCTCTTTAAAGCTTGAGCGGTAAACATCATGATCAATTTTTATGATTTAGGTTTTGAGATTTCTATGTTTATTGTTGCAGCCATCTTGAAACAAGAGAAACAGTAAGTCTACACATTTGTTGGCAGCGGCAAGTCGCGGTATATACATGTAGGCTCAAGAATGTAATCAAACGCGACCGCTTAGCGTTTTCTTTGGATTGAGCTGGCTATCTATTGATATCTAACTTGGAAACGAACCCTACAGCTCCAAAATTTTTTTAGTTTGACTTTTCGAGAAAGCGTGAGAAATCATTTGCCAACTCGTGAGAGCGTGAGATAGGTCCTGAAGTCGTGAGTCATGTACACTGTTTAGGAGAAGACTTGTGCGAAAATGTGTTCCATTTTTAGGACAGACGAGCGCAAAATTGTATACCCTGTTTAGGACAGAGACGAAAATAAGCCGCCCTGTCCAGCGGCACATCTCTGTATTGGTCACATAAAGGAGTACCGACCCAGGGACGAACCTTAGCGTCACTCTAGTACTCTGAAACTCATTTTCCATTGTGATATTCGGTTTATCACCCGACGAATGGAACTGAAAAAAAAAGCAAAAAAACTTTTCATTCGCTTGGGCCTGTCTTTGATAATAAACAACTTCTCAAAATGTCAGTGTGTGGTCGTAAGTTGGTAATTCTTATTATTCCTACTTGAGTGTACCTTGTATAGCTCAATATTTAAAGTAGCTTTTGAGCTTTTACCATTTGAATTTTTTTCCTACAGCGATCTGCTTCACCCCCGACTGGCTTCGCTTTGAAAATTCATGTTTCAAAGTTTTCACCGATAAGCTAACTTGGTTTGACGCACAGAGCTCCTGCGCCCTAATCAACAGCAACTTAACGTCAATTCACAGTGCAGAGGAGAACGACTTTGTGCGCAAACTAGTAACGCCTGGTTCGCCCTCTGTATGGATTGGTTTCACCGACTTATATAGCGAAGATGACCGCTTTGAATGGGTTGATGGCACGTACAAATCATTTACAAACTGGCATTATGGTGAGCCAAATAACATGGGACCTTATGGAAGCGACGAAAACTGTACGGAGTTTCGTTCTTCAGATGGAGGTTGGAATGACTTGAACTGTGCCTACTATAATAAAACTTATGTATGTGGAAAAAAATTGAATCCCTAGTGTCATTTGTGTACCCATTGTACACCTCGTCCTTTGTAAAGAAGCACAACTAGATCCTTAGACGAAGCGAGGCACTCTTCTAGCATAATCAGAAACGCGACTGATGGCAAATGAAGATAACAAAGTTCCGTAAAATCCTAGTATGATGAATAGCTGGCCATTTAACAGGTACGCCATACAGTCGAAGAATGAACTTGAAACTACTAAGAGTGAAAACTTCAGAAAGCCTGCGTTGTAAATGGTCGCTTAACGGACATCACCGTAAGTAGGACACCTCTCTATATGAAGCGGACAACTCTCGAACACAACAACTTGACCAAAACTGACAGCAGTAGATGACTGCAGCCCGATAGAATCTTTAATGCATATATAACCTCCGGATTTCAAGTCAAACCCTCCATGAAGCTGTCAGGCCTTTGAATAAACCCGGGGGTATCATAGGAGATTTTAGACGGACCCTGCAACCCTTAGCTTATAGCAGACCAGGTACACGACAAATTTGCTACCCTATATATTCTAGATAGACAACTTGAAGTCCATACCAAAATCCTCTGCTTTCTATTCCGCCCTGGCCCAGGCGTATCTGTTTGAAAACTATAATCCTTGCTGCAGCACAAAACCTTTCTAGCCCATGGCAATGCCTGGCTTTATTTTCAAGTCAAAAAGTCACTGTTAGAGTGGATTTGATTTATACTATGTTTCACTGTTTATTCAATGCTCAAGAAATTTACAGAGATCTTCAAACAAAGACAACTTCTGAAAACTTTTGCCCCACTACGTCTCATAAGGTCTGCCGTTAACATTCGAAGACTGACTGGAAAATAAAGATAATCTACGGGATACTTGTTGCTAGGAAACAAGCGCGTAGGTGACGTGGTGAGCCAGAGGTGTGAGACGTTGTAACAGTAACTGAGTAAATTTTAGCGATTTTAATGAAACTGAGCATATTCAATCCCATATGGTCGGAAAATGCGATCTAGAGTTTCAGCTCTACTGAAAACCATTAAAACATGGAGAAATTCAATCTTGGACTAGTTATGAGGATTCGCGAGTCTGAACCGGCCCGTGCTTCAAATGGAGGCTATAGTTTGGCGCTTTTCTTTAAGTTCTATTTTTAGCAACAAGAATGAGACTTGCCGAATTGACTCTTACTTATGCGCTCTTTAGCACTCCAATCAACTCTTAAGTTAACTTTCCTTCTCCATAGTGTCCACAGGGAAGCAGCACTAAAGTCTTGTTCCCACAACGATTCACCAAATAAAGGGCCATTTCCATGTTTGTAGAAAGGAAAGGTTTAGTATATTAAAGGAACCGTAGTATTATCCAACAAGTTTTCTTGCTTCCTTGTTCAACATAAAATTTGATGCTTTTTCCTGGCGACTATTTTTACCGCTTTCTCTTCGAGCTACGACTGTCGTGATCCCTACGAAAGAAAAGAAAAGAGAAAAAAAGGGACAAGTATTAGAATAGCTTTTCCACGCTTGGCACTTAACTAGAAGTGTCTGCCCTGAACAAAAGTTTGCAACATTGCCGGTACATGTATTCTTGCATGTTATAGTTTGCTTCCTGTCTTTGGCGAAGCCCATGGCGCTAGTTACCTTTCCCCCGCCATTAGCACTGACTATACATTTATGTTTCCTGCATTTAACCATTTTAACGTGTGCCTTTCACTGGCTACAAATAAGTTTTCGCGTTCGGTGCTGGCTTATGTTTTCCCGCGCCACAAACAAGAGCGCAGGTTAGATCATTTTCTTTTCATTGGCACTGGCACACATGTCCAATACGCACGAACTGAGTCCGGTCGTCTAAAATGGAAGTCGGCCCGTCTAAAGAAAGTCTGGTCGTGATATGTGAAACGGATGTGAACTCGATTACCGGAAGTCTTATCGTGATCGGACAGGAAATCTTGATCGCCTACGTGCTCCTATGTATCATCTTGAGGGATCGTATCAGATGGAGACAGGTCGTTCGACTCAAAACTGCTAAAGAGGACATGATTTTTTAGTAGTGAGGCGGTGAACGTAACAAGAGCACCCCGAAACAAGCACGCTACAAATACAATATGACTCGTTCCTTAAGCCATAAAACCGACCAAAAGCAGGGCGAAACAATTACAAATGGGGCATAGGGACTAAAACCTCGTTTTTTGGCGCCAAAAAGAAAACGAATATTTTCCCAAACATTTACAAGTTAAAAATAAAAACGAAGTCAACAAATCACCAGAAAATGGTGACGAGCACACTAACCTTGACCGTGAAGGTTCGTCCAGAGGTCTCTTGCCCTTTTTAGCTTCTGTAAGAAACTTATCAAGACCGAAAGGATCTTCTTCTTCTTTCTCGAACTGCACTGGGCCATCACGGCGCTGACTACGATCCGTTCCAGCAAACCCTTGGTCAGGTTGAAACCTAGGGACAGAACAGTTTCAGTAAACAGATATCGTATTTCCTCGAAAAAGCGCCTGTGCTTTAATTAGAGCCCTCCCCAGAACAAGCACCCACCTCCTAGGCCATATTACTATCAAACAAGCGCCCCAAACCCTACCCCCCCCCCACCCCCAACCTCCCCCTCATTTTTTTAAAATAGTACGGATACAAGGGGAACGCGAAGATCTGCATATCACTGACGAGGATGATCTCGAGGATGATGAGATAATCGATATTTTATAAACATCCATACTGATACATCTGTGTTAAGTGTTTAATGGGACTACGGTACACTTGATTACAACTATTGTTTTAACAAACGAAAGACTATTAACTTCTACTTTACGTTTCTATCAAAGATTTAGCCGACACAAAGTCACACTTCTTTGAAAGGAAAAGTTAATAGAGAGCTTTAGATTCCGAGACGAGGACGACTACAGTACGAGTACCATATTTTCACAATATTGAGTATTGCTCACCCGTTAATCAGCGTCATTTTGACGGGAAAACGTGATAGCCGTCGTCATTCTATTACGCGTGTTAGCGAGAATGTCGTAGTGGCAGGAACAAGTTATCAAAAGTAAGCAGTTTTATCTTTTTGCTATCGGGAGAGGGCTTAGCCTTCTTCAGTATAAATAACCGTACTAACGTTTTTGGTGAAAAAAAAAAGTAAAATGAAACTTTCTGTGGTGTAGTTAAATCTCGTACTCGTACTCGTACTCGTTCTCAAATCTTAAGCTCTCTAATGAGTGCCCCCCTTCGATTAAGCGCCCTCCTTCAAATAAGCACCCCCCATCTTAGCCGTAATTTCAAATAAGCTCCCGGGCGCTTATTCAAGAAACTAAGGTACTTTTAACTATTAGTATATGCTGGTATTTTGCAAGTAGTTCAAGCTGGTGATGGTGTCTAGAAATTATTTTCAACTCATATTTCGCCATATCCTCTGACGGGATACTTCTGCTTTCTTGCCCCGTTCTTAAGGCCGTTCTCGCACCTTAAACCCATAATGACTCCAGCAAGTTTTCTTTGGTAGTCAGTGTGAAGTAAATGCTTGCCGTATTTTTTCTCACCTACTAAGCACGTGCAGTAGCGGTCACGTGACAACTCACCTGTTGGTTTGAACCAGCTTCTCCAAATCATCTCCGTACACGTCTCTGTCGACATTCTTACTTGGCCGGTAGATCGCGTTTGCTGTGCTACCCTCTCGTCTCCAGGCCTTGTCATACACATTGTAGACGTCATCATCTCCTCCATAACCAGAATTCAGACCCTAACGGACGAAACGGTCATTTCAGGTCGCTTCAAAAGTGAATAACACTATGAAGCAGTTTTTGATTCACAAATGGAAGCCGAATGCTTTTGGGCAAGGGAGGAAGGAAGCTCTCGCAAAATAGACCCTAGCCCTGAAACAACACAACATCGTTGCAGAAAGGACGAAGGTTTCGGGTTTCGAGAAGCTTCATGAGAGTAGACAATTTTGGACGTTAAAGTTTTGCGATTTTGTCCTTTGATTACGGCAATTTTTGAGAATGATTGGTCTGTTCGACTAGAGGGATAAGTGGTCAAAAGTGTGACCCTATTAGACGAACTTGACAGTCCAAACGATTTGTCAGTCTTTATTATGAAAACAGCCATTATTATTTTATCATATTTTTCAAACTATTTAACTTTCCAAACGGAATTTAAGGTTTCCCCATGCAAATATTACGAGAAGTATAACATTGTGGTTGGTTTACTGCATAGTCCACCTGGATTTCCATGACTACATCAAAGGATCGAAAATCGGTCACCATTAGGTACTGACTGATTTAAGCCGTACATTACCTTGTCTTGATTGAATAACCGTTGATCATACAACGCTTCCTGAGAGGGAGGGGCTGAGGCTAGGCCTAACGCAATCTGTTCACTAATGTCACGCTCCTTGTCACGCTGAAGTTTAGACCTGTTGAAGCGAACAGCAGTAAAAATTCGTTATGATGCAACTTTGTATAATATTTTCTTCTTTTTTTTCCCATTCCCCTTGATTGTTATATAAAGGTCACTGTACTATCATGTAAGATCTATTGTCACAATCTGCTCACAGTTTAACTCACCTTTTATCAGGAGCGGCTTTTGATATTCTTCTATCTCGTTCTCTCTCCTTATGTCGCTCATGACGTAGTTTGTCTCTTTCTCTCTCTTCCTCTGGCCTGTCTAAATAGCGAGTTAGACCACGTTACTCATGAAGTAATGAAACTGGTAATTTCAAACGCTCAAGCAACCCTTTTAATCTAAAAAGTGGCCGAAGTAAAAGTTCAACAAAATTTCCAAATAAAAATGCTAAACATCAAAAAGTACGTTGTGACAGTACTGTTGAAGAGGTTTCATTTGAATAGTCACAACAAAGGATTAAAAGTGAGAGCCCAGCACCTCAATATATACTTCGTCATTCAATCGGGAAGTAAACGAGTCAAACGACCAGCTTCTAAGTAACGATAAAATGAACTTTAAATAAAGCCCTTCACTATTGTTACTACTGATCGGCGAAAGATTCCATATTGTAATTTTCATATTGCCACTGAAGAACAACATGCAAAG